ATGAGACAAAGTATATGTGAACTGCTGTATGTAAAGTGAATTTACTCTGTAAATCTTCACCCAAATCCTAATAAAAAAAAAAAAAAAAAAGAATTGATTTATTTGAATTATGATGTTGGCAAAGAACATTGAAAATACCCTGGACTGCTACAAGAATGAACAGATCTGTCTTGGGTGAAATACAGCCTGAAGGATCCTTACAAGCAGGAATGGCCAGATTTTGTCTCACCTACGTTGGTTGTATTGTCAGAAGGGACCAGTCCCTGGAGAAGGATATCATGCTTGGTAATGCAGAGGGTCAGCGAGTAAGAGGGACTCTCAGTGAGATGGATTGACACAGTGGCTGCAACAATGGGCTCAAGCATGGACATGATTGTGAGGATTGCGCAGGATGAGGTAGTGTTTCAATGTGGTGTTGTACATTGCGTCGGTATGAGTCAAAACTGACTCGATTGCACCTAACAACAACATGTAAAGTACCTGGCATGGTGTCTGGCACGTTTTGAAATTTTCAAGAATAGTAATGTTACTGCCATTCATTTGACCCCAGAGGACCATCCAGCCCAGCAGGACTTTTTTTCCCCCCAACTGGGAGATGTTGGGAATATAAAGTGCTCTTAGACAGAGAAAATCAAATCAACCAAAATGCTGCCTAACAAGAAAAAACTAAGTAAGGTTTTGTTTTGTTTTGTTTTTTTAAAGTAAGTAATGTTTTCCCATTGCAGTATATTTTGGATATGAGGATGGCTTTGCCAGGTGGCTGCAACTAAAAGCCCTGAGAATTCATTTCAAAGGCCAACCCATTCCCACCTTCCAAGCTGCCCTTCCATCTTGAAAATAAGCAAACAATTGCCATGTGTCAATTCCAACTCACAGTGATCTTGTAGGACACAGTAGAACTGCCCCACAGGGTTTTCATGGCAATGACCTTCATGGAGATAGACTGCCAGGTCGTTCACCCACCTAGACATGCATGGTGGGTTTGAACTGCTGACTTTTAGGTTAGCAGCCAAGTGCTTAACTGTTGTGCTACCAGGGCCCTGAGGGCAGGCAGCAGAGGCAGGATCTTATGGCCCTCTGGGTAGATGCTTCTATCATTCCTCATTCACAGTCCTCACATTCTCTTAGAGGCTGGGAGTCCTCACAGTACTGATCTGATGTCTTCCTAGTTAGGACAAGACTCTCAAGTCCTTGAGAACTCTAACAGAATAAGTGAGGGGATGCTCAGCCTGACAGCCCTGCCTGGCAGGTTGGGGTACCCCATCCTCACTGATGGGTGTCCTCATCTTGACTCCTGTCTCTTGGATTAAAGGCCTCCTGGGAAATACTACATCCCTGCAAACCCTCAAGCAGATTCCCTACTGCTGACATGGCAGAGAACGGGTTCCTGTCCCAGAGTGATATGAGATGGAGACACTGCAGCACAAGACAGGAGGGCCAGGACAGGTGGCGGCCTGTCAGGGAAAACACACACTGACCTATTCCTACACCTCATCAGCCAGACTTGGCATCTGTATTGACTTCTGTCCTAAAAGGTTTCCTTTGTACAGGAAAGGGGCTGTCCATGATGATTTTGTGAGTATCAGATATTTTTAGGTTATCTGACATTGTTTAGGTAGGTGATCATAATGTCCCCAAATATTATCTTCCTTTCTTTATTCATTTGATTTGTTATACTTTTTCCTATGGCTTTGTATTCCAATCCAGTACACTGGGCACAAAATTTTTCTTTGCATATCTAGATAAATTTTGTAGAAATGAGCTGTAAAATGAATTAAGAGACAAAAGATCTACCTCAGGCTGTATGAGTGGAACACTGGGCTCTAGACAGATTCAGATCAGAAGTCTAGTGTAGCACTGTCACTTAGGAGAGCTGTGAAAATGCAAAACTAGGAAATTCTTCATTGACAAAGGAACTCTGAGAACCCTAGCCTATAGAACAGTTGGAATATGCGTAATACATGTAAAGTACCTGGTAGAGCGCCTGGGATGTTTTGGGTCCTTAATGAATGGAAGTTATTACTGTGATAGTATTGGCACCAGGTGACTCCACTCACCACTTTGAGTTTGTTTGTTTTTTTCCTTTAAATCCAGGATATGTGAGAGAATATGCAGTGCTTCACAAAACAGAAAATGAAATGAGCCAAAACACTGCTTAGGAAGGAAAGGTGGGTAGTATTTGGCATTAGGGAACCTGTAACGTACTGATAACCTGTAATGTAGTGATACTGCCTCAGCAACCCAAGGAGGGGTTGCAACTCGACGGCACATAACAACAACAACAATGTAATGTGAGTGTGGGACAGAATTCCCCAGTTGGATGTAACACAAGGCTTCTAGGATTGTCAGTGCCAACAATACCCCCTACCAGCTGCCTTACATCTTACTCACCCCTCATTTCATTCATTAAACCACCACCAAAAATCTGGTCTTCAATTGGACTTTGCCTAAAGACACTCAGGAAATCCTAATTCTAACATCCTTTGAATGGGGTGGGCTCTGGCTCCCTCAGCCCAAGACAAAGGGCTAGAACAGTGGCTTATTCACATCTCACCACAATGGAGTATCACCCTATTTCTCAGAAACTTCCTGGAAATTATGTAAATAAAACACCCAGTCAGTGCATGTGTTCAAGTGCACTGGGACAAGAGCACAGGACACTTCCCAGTCTGTCCCAGGTCAGATTCCTCTCTGGTTGACCCACAATCCCAGAGTCTCTGTTAAGACCCAGTCTGCATTACATGTTTAATCTACCCCGTGATGGGAGTGTCTGCCCCTGTGCACACTTACCACAGCCTCATTTAGTTGCTTTCACCTCACCCTTAGGAGCTCTGTTGGCGTAGTGCCTAAGGCATTTGACCGGTAACCAGAAGGCTGGCGGTTCAAACTTACCAGCCACTCCTTGGAAAGAAGGTTGGGCAATCTACTTCCATAGTGATATGGCCTCAGAAACCGAAGGAGCAGTCGCTGAGTTGAAATCAACTCGACCACAATGAGTTTGGTTTTTTGGTTGTACCTCACCCCTACCCCCACCCACTACTGTTCAGCACCCTATGCAGCCTAACTTTAAATGGCCTCCCCCTCAGTTGCTTGGAATTTCCCAAAACGTCAAACTGCCCTGCCTCAGGGCCTTTACACTGACTGCTCTCACCTAGACCTGCCCTTCTCACTCCTTTTCACTTTTATTTAGGTCTTAAAGCACATCCCACTGACTTCATTATCTGATAGTTGCTGTTCAACTGTAACATGTATGACTATGGGATTGGGCTTCTTTTAAAGCATTTCCAGTAATAGCTTGAAGCCCACCAAATACCAGATGCTCAGCTAAGATTGGAGGTACAAAATAAACAGTGAGAAAAATGTCTAATTTGCAACCCTTTAATTTCTACATGCTTGAATAAACTCAGTAATTCCATGTATGTATCTTCTCATTTCCAAAAATAGATATTACAAGAAAATAAGCAAACTAAGATTTAACAAGATATACTGAAATGTTTCCTTTTCTTTATCCCAAGCATTCTACTATGGGAATCATTCACATTTCCAAGAAAATCCCTATTCTAATACATGCTACCTTTTTTGGATTACAACATAAATTTCAGGATGTCCTATTTGTTTTTTTTAGAATATCAAAACTCTTATGTTAATGTATGAAAGCAACTATAAACAAGTGATCCATGACATTCATAAACTTAGATTATAAATCCAAATGGATATATTACAAAAAAAACAGACTTTTAAAAATACCCCCCAACAAGAAAAATCTCAAAGCTACCATGTAGATCAAGAACAAAAAGAAGACATACATTGTGTTCCCTCCAGCCCTAATACTCCTCCACTATTTAGAAGGTTGAAAGCACTTTCAAAAACAGAACGAAGAATCTGCCTCATTTCACTAGGGGAAGGAGGGCCTGCTGGACTCAGCCCTGAAATTGGCCCTTGCAGCAGCATTGGGACCGTCCTCTGCTGTCGCTCCCCCTTCCTTTTCTCTCCAAGTTTCTTCATACGGGGCTGGAAAGGCAGTGGGTTGCATATCATTGACCTTGGCCAAAAATTCCAGGACTTTTGTTTTGTTGGCTTCAGCGTGAGCTCTGGGACCCCACAGGAATTCATAGCGTGGAGGATCACTGTTGGGCACCTGCTGGTACTCCAGGTACTTTTCCTGAACCAAATCTTTGGTGATGAGCTTCCTGGGATCCCCAAAAATTACATCCCTTTTTCCATCATAGAAACCCAAAACATTCAGGAATTCCCAGATTTTCTCCTCAGTGACCCGGTTACCATTCATGTAGATCAAGCCCAGGAGAGGCATCAAGAGGCCATTCTTTGGATAACCCCTGTCACCAAACAGGTTTTCCTCATGGCTGATCTCCAAATTGCTGACAACAGCATAGCATTGACCCTTGGAGTCAACTTCCTTCAGGTTGAGGCCAAAGACCACCTCAATTTGCTCACAGGCTCTCCTCAGGATCTCTGGGAATTGCCCCTTGAACTTTTTGTTGATGACCTTCATCATTTCTGCCTTGGAAATGGGCTCTTTGGTTTTATACTTCTCCAGCAGAAAGTCCAACAACCTACACACACTCCTGCGGAGAGGATCTCTTTGTGAGCTCTCAGTCGGGGGTGGGGGCTCAGAAGAACTTAGATTTCCCTCCTCTTGGCCCTCTGCACCTTCAGCAGCTCTTGTGCAGGACACACCAGCAACATCAGTGGGGGTTAATGGGACTCTCTCAGGCCCCTGGGGAGAGCCAGCAGCAGGGGAGCTCTGGGGAGAACTCCCAAAGGGAGAAGAGCAGGGAGACACTTCATCCTCTGTTGCAGTTTCCTGGACACCCTCAACACCATGGGCCTCACCTTGGGCCTGACAATGTTTCTCATGGGCACAGAGCTTACTCTTCTGACCACCAGGCATGATGACTCTGGTCAAGGAGAGTTATCAGGTGTGTGGGTGGAGTACAGGTGATGGGAGGCTATTGAGGAAGAAAATCTGAGGAAGTGTTAGCCCCTACAGCTGGGAGATGCCTCTCTGGCTTTAACAGTGGCTGCCTAAGCAGGATTCTTGGAGGCTACTGTTCTCGAAACACAGAAGCCTTCTGATCTGTTCAGCCTGTCCTGAGAATCCTGTGGAGGAAATTAGGGTGAGGTTTATGTTGCAGTTGCCAGTAGGGCCTGGTAGTGGAGGCCCTCCTTACTGGTGTAGTGGGGAGTCTACTCAGTTCACTTTCAGGGCCATCGGATCAAGAGTTGGCAGGGTTTGTGCCTTGTCCCGTCCCGTGTGCTTCCCTGAGCTTGACACCTCAAAGCCCCCTGGGTCCCTTGGAGGAACTGAAGGAGCAGCTTAGCTACCACCTTTGAAGGGTATTTCAGTAATGACAGGGAAGTGGGCCATGTTCTCTCCTGGGTTCCTTGGAGGCCTCAGTCCTCCATTAGGATCCTCACCCTGGCTCTGGAACAATGTGGAAGCCCTCCCTGTCATGGATAAGGCCTATCTGCTCATCCCAAGGGCCTCAGTTTCCAGAGACCTCTTAAGGAGCAGTAACATTTGCCTCACCTGGCTGCAAATGCCTGTGGTTTCCCAAGGCTGATAGCAATGAAGGTATTCTGCATTGAATCCAATTAAGATGATTCCCTCAATCCTCAGGGTGCTCACCTTGACTACTGGTAAGCCCTGAAATTCCTCCTCCTGCTTACCTTAGGCTGCCCACTTTGACCTGGTCCCTCAACTACCTGAGAGGCTTGGGGAGGACGTGAGTGTGACTCACACTAATCACATGCCCAGGTTCCCCAGGTATGAAAGCAGGGGTGAGGCTTTATGGTGCCCCCCTTGTGTCACAGAGGAGTCACCTCATCATAACTCAGTGTCTTCACTTTAATGTCTGTTAAGGACCAAGTCTCCCACCTCTACTAAGACAAACCAAAAACCAAACTCACTGCTATCGAGTCAGATCTGACTCATAGTGACCCTCCTTCGGTTTCTGGGACAGGATCTCTATGGAAGTAGATTGCCCAGTCTTCCTTCCAAGGAGTGGATGGTGGATTTGAACCACCAGCCTTCTGGTTAGCAGTCAAATGCTTTATATAGGTGTCCCCGTTAGTCCAAAGATTTCATACCCTTGAGAACACCTGTCCTCAGCACAAACAAGCGCATTACCTCTGCTTGACATCTCTCACCATGGTTTCTCAGGACCAACCACAACAGTGGGATTTGGGGCAGCCAGTCCTCGGAAGGAAGGTTGGGCAATCTACTTCCATAGTGATATCGCCTTGGAAACCCAAGGGGGTGGATCACTATGAGTCGGATCCAACTGGACAGCACATAACAACAACAACCCCTCTTAATAAGAAGTTAATTCCTTCTTTCTCCTTTCAAGATTAGTACCTTGACTCTCACCAGGTTGTTGGATCCTGTCTCTGCTGAACTGGGACAGCCAGCACTAAGCCAAGGATTTCATCTGCTGGAAAACTTTCAGGCAGAAGTCAGGAGGACCTGAACCTCCTGGATTTGTTTGGGCTCAGAGGGCTAAGGACAAGAACAAGGTTTAGTGAAATCCTCCCCATTTTGGGATAAACCTCAGTCATGTCTTCATCTTCACTCTGTACCATTCCTGGGATCCACCCCTCTGCTGACCAGACTGCACCTTCCTGAGACCTCAGACTTGGACGTCGAGAGTGAGCCACCTCATGTGGACCCTGATTCAGGAACACTAAGTGTGTGTGGAGGGGCCAGGAGACACCCAATTAGGTGCTGCCTTTGCTCATCAGCCAGGCTTTAGGCCTTGGCTCTGGGTAGGGCTTGGAATTCCTCTCTCTCCTAACTAGAGTCCCCCTCAAAGCAGGGGTGTGGCTTTATGGCTCAGAGTAAGGATCTCACCTGGTAAAGGGGAGTCAGTGTGCTGTCCATCTGGCCACCGCTGTCCCGGAGGCTCCCAAGGCTGAGGACAGTGGTGGGGCTGTGAACAGTCCCTCTTTTGAAAGAAGGCCTCCTGATAAGCACTAAGAGACATCACCTGGCCTCCAATCAGGGTCTAGGTCTCCTGACTCTTCAGCAATGGGATTGCTCCTTTAAATCATGGCCCTTCAGTCCTGAAGACTTCAGGCTTAACTCAACCTGATGGCAATGAGGTTGGAGGGAGGGGCGAGACTTTGTAATGTCTCCAGTATTCTTGGATAGGTGGTCCCCTCAGTCAACATTCATAGTCCTCACCTTGAATCCTGAGTAGTCTTGACACTCTACTGTGATGAGTTTGCGCAGAGGCGGCAGCTTTCCGGCACTTTGGTCGCAAAAGGCAGGATTGGAGGGTAGGATACCTTCCACCAAGGTGTTTGGGGGGTGTCCACAGGGCAAGGCTGTTGGCGAACCTTTGAAAATCAATAGTAGGGGTGGGCCAGGGCTCTTGGAAACCCCACATTTTGGATTTGATGGTCACTTAATGGTCACTCAGTGTCCTCACCTTGATATGGATCAGAGCCTGGGGTTCCTACCTATACAGACCTCAGTCACAGGCACAGAAGGAGACCCTCACCTCACAGAGGCTCTCAAAGGGGGAGGTCAGGGTATACCGTATGTCTACCCTACCTGTGATCTCGCAGAGGCGCTATTGCATCAGTGCTCTGGGCAGAGTGTCTTTGGGGAGTAGTTCCTCTGATTAGCACTCAAAGATCACACTTTGCTATAATTAAGGGCAATACTCCTTCCTCTACAGAACTGAGGCTGCCTCCATTAGATCAAGGCCTTCCCTGACTGATACCTTCTGTGCTGAAATGAGGGGACACTTCCAGCCAGTAGTTCTAAGTGGTGCCTCCCCTGGCTCAAAACAGGAGCTGAGCTCTGAAGGGCCTTTCAGTTGGTGAGAGTCGCCTCAAAAGAAAAATCTTTATTTGGATTCCTGTTAGGTCCTAGTCTATTCTCAGCATAGAAGACCCAGGACTACTCCCTCCACCCCCACCCCACTTCCACTCTCCACTGCCCCATCCATCCACCTCTCTAAACCCCGACCCCATCCAGCATATACCAAAGCACTTGCCACCCAGAAACCATATATAGGAGGAAATAAAGGGGAGCCTCAGGCTAGCAGCTTTGGAGAAACGTCCCAGAACTCTGAACAGGGGTGGGGCTCTGTGAGAAGCCCTTTGTTTTGCTGATTCGTTTGGAGGTTAAAAAAAAAAACAGAAAGTAGCCTCTTTTGGGACCTAGATATGCCCTCTTTTCAGAACCAAGGACAAATGCACTGTACTGAGGGCCTGACACAATCTCTGCATAGCTACTTGTGGTGAGGAAATGAGGGTACTGCTTAGCCTGACACCTCTGAGCTGTGCCTCAGACAGCAGCTGGGAGTGATTTTATGGGACCTTTTGTGTTCTGTGGTGGATCGTTCTCTCATTGTTCAGAGTCCTCACCTTGGCTCTTGATCAATCCTGGGAATTTATTCTCCTTCCCTGAGGATGATCGGAGCTCTGGTAGCACAATACCTAAGGCATCTGACTGCTAACTAGAAAGTTGGTGGTTCAAACCCACCAGCCACTCCATGGAAACAAGACTAGGCAATCTGCTTCCATAGAGATTTACCACCTGGGAAACCAAGTGAGGGTTGCTGTGAGTCCAAATAGACTTGACTGCGGTAGGTTTGGTTATGGTTTGAAGATGATCCTCTCTGATCAGTTCGTACACCTTAATGAGACCATGCTTTGGAATCAGGGTGATCCACATTTGTCCACAGTTCCTCAGGATCTGGCAGGAGTGACAGCAGACATGAGTCTCTATGAAACACCATTTTTTGTCTGTGTTCTTGAATCATAATCATTTAGGGCCATCACCTGGAAATTCACTGTATTGTTTTGCAAATAACATACATATGATAAAGTTTTTGCAAACTGTGCGACCCTCTTACATGTTACTTTCCTATGAGCACTATCTATGTCATATGTGTGTGGATGTTATTTCCATGGGCATGTAAATATGGTATCAGAGACTGAGAATCCAACATCTACTGACTTGGGGTGCCCCACTTAGGCCAAGGCTCTCAAGTCGCTGACAGTTCTGAAGAGTAAGGGAGAGTATGCTCAGCCTGACAGCCCTGCCCAGGGCTTTCTAGGTCTGAGAACAGGTGCCAGCTATTCTCTGGGTGACCCCTATATTCTGCTATATTCTTCCCAGTCCTTATTTTGAATATTGGATGATATCAAGGACATCATACATGAAGAAAGGAAAAGGTCATTAAATGGACAGGAAAGTAAGAAAAGATTAAAATAAATACCAGAAGATACTCTGAAATCTGCTCAGACTGACAGCACTGCTTGGAATGTTGGGAGTACCCCATCCTGAGTTATGGGAGCTCTCATCTTGACACCTGTCTGTTGTCTCTTGGATTACAGGCTTCCTGGGAAATACCACATCCTGGCAAACCCTGAGCAGTTTCCCTACTGAGCACTTTGCACAGAATGGGTCCCTATGTCAGAGTGATGTGAGATGGGGACGCTTCAGCACAAGACAGGAGGCCCAGGAGGGTGGTGGGCTGTCAGGGAAAACACACACTGATCAAGTCCATCACCTCATCAGCCAGACTTGGCATCTGTTTTGACTTCTGTCCTAAAAGGTTTCCTTTCTACAGGAAAGGGGCTGTGCAAGATGATTTTATGAGCATCAGATGCTTTGAGGTTATCTGACATTGCACATGTGCATGATCAAAATGTCCCCAACTATTACTTCCTCTTTTTACTCATCTGATTTGTTACATTTATTGCTATGGCTCTGTATTCCAATCCAGTACATTGGGCACAAAATTTCTCTTTTCTTGCCTTATTGTTGTTGTTATGTGCCGTCGAGTCGGACCCGACTCATAGCTACCCCTCCTTGGGATGCCGAGGCAGTATCACTACGGAAGTAGAGTGCCCAACCTTCCTTCTTGCCTAGAG